CAATACAACAAACGGAGTCATTCATGTCATCGATGACGTTTTATAATCTTCCAACCGCATCATTGGATTTCATTACTATTCATTCATCACAAACTTAATAATATTATTTATAATTGTCACTTAAAAGCAATATATTTATATTATTCTAGCCCAATTATAACATTTCAAATGCTCATAAGTTCCAACTATCGGAGAAAGCTGGAACCTATGAGCATTTGTTACCTACTTTGTGCAGAGAACATTTGTAATCATTTTCCTAAAAAAATATTTGATCTTTCCATCTCTGGAAGGTTCCCGCCCTATTCAGGTTTTACTGTAATACTGTATAAATTAATTCTTATTTTATGAGTATATTATATTGTAGATAAAATTTTATTAGGTCCTATCGACGAATCAGAATTTGAAACCACCACCTCTCCCTCCACGACCTTGTCTTCAACAATTTCAGAGACAGAAGTAACAACTATCCCATCTTCAAGTGATTTCACAGAACGCTACAGTAGTAAATCCAAAAGGTTACAAGGTTGGATACATCTAAGAATAAATTCGGATAACATAATTACGCCTATGGCGATTATACACACTATCCTTTCTCTAAAGGATTTACTCTAACGACTAGTCCTATATGCGTAGAGAGAGTTCCCTGGTTCAAAATAATTACCTCAAAGTGCTATATGTGGCAATAACAGTTCTTTATGAAAGAGTTGGGCTTGGTCAATGTCTTCTACCGATGCGGGAGAAGTGAAATCACTATGATCAATATAACTTCAGAGCTTCCGGTGGTCTGCACCTTTTATATCATTGTCGTGGGAAAACTGACACGTGATTGACTTTTGTTGACGATGACGGTGCATTCTTCACACCTAAGTGCCAACTTTCCCATCTAATTGTTATTACAATCGGTGACCTCCGATCTAGTTTCAATTTCTTCGGGTTTTTTCCGAAGATATTTACACTTAACATAAAATTGGAATGTTTTTTAAGAGCCCCGTAAAAATCCGCGGGCTCACACTAATATAGGAAGTGGCTAAATATAAACAAATAAAAATATACTTATGTTTAATTTACATTTAAAAAATGCTAATNTAATATAATTTCTCTTAAAAAACGAAATTTTTTCCGTCTTAATTGGCAACGAAATAATACATTATAAAGAGTAACGTATTAACCTTAGAGATGTCATGACTTCGAATCACGATTTGGGTCATCACTATTTCATTATCATTTTAAAATACTTAACTGAAAATCGAGTCATGATTTCAATGTTTCAAAATTTCAATTTAAAATCACGTGGAGTTGAGAAATACTTTATTTATTTATTTGTTTATTTTTAATTTACAGCTTTAAATTACTTGCAAATATAACCTATAACTTAAGTATATTATTTTCAGGCAACTACTGCGTCTGGTGCGAAAATAGTTAAACCACCTATTCGAGTAGGAAATGTTCAAATTGTGCCTGTCAATCAAGTATTGGTTCCTCCTGTAGGAGATTTGCACCGAACTGTTACCAAATCGCCTCTTATGAAACAATTTTCTAAGTTGATTGAAATCTCCGGTTTGGAAGACGAGATCAAACGTAAATACTTTTTGATTTCGTTTACGTATGTTTTAATTTAACGTATTTTATACAATTGTATTATTTATAGAAGGAGGACCGTATACTTTATTTGCCCCTTCTAAGAAAGCTTTTAAGAAAATGTCTTCCGAAGAATATAATCGCTTAATTACCGATCCTAATTTGGCAAAGGGTATATATTATTAATCGAGATTATTTTAAGTAATTTTAAATAACATTTGGCACATTAATTCTTATTAAATTGTGTTTCCGTTAGAATTTGTTCTTCGACATTTAGTACGAGGCACTCACTATACTAATGGAATTAAAGATGGATCTACTCTTACTTCTGAAAATGGTCATGAATTGAAGCTTATGAATAAGCCAGGTATATTTATAGCCTATATTTGTATTTCATTTTTAATATGTCTAATAATAAATGCAAAAGTTAAAATGTATTTTAGAAAATTTACAAATTCCCTTTCGTTATTTAATAATTATTAAATAAGTTTTTAATTGTTTAATAAATGATGCACAAAAATATATTTTATAATCACAAAATGTGGAAATAACAAATTACACGAGTTTATTACAATGGAAAATTGATTATTCGAACTCGATAGAACCAAGAGTTTTTCGGATAATACAGAAACTCGTTTACTTTTGTGTTTTAGATACAGTAAATACTGTGAATTTGAAGTTTCGTGGACTATAAACACTGTAATGCAATTACTACGTTTGAAAAGAAATTAATTTACTCAAAATTTAAAGTAATGTTACGTATATGACCTAGTTTCGCTGCCCTATAATAGACAGATGATGTAATGATCACCAGTTACGTAGACAGTTTGATTTCTTTGTATTGTATTCTATGGTATTTACAATACATTCATATTTTTTTAAACCATTTCGGATAATCAAGTTTCTACTGTATTGGTAATTGCAACTTTATCATTTCAAACTTATTCACTACAAGAGCTTTACCTTATTCTGTTCTACACGACCCGTTCTTGACCTCGTTTGTTCCGAATGGTGTCTTAATGAATACAATAACGGGCGGAAAGTCTTCGAAGTGTATGTACTGTACATTACATTATCGTTTCATAATTTTATATTATTTTTTCCAGATTGCCTCGGTGTCAATGGAGTTAACTTTAGTTTTTCTGACATCAATACAACAAACGGAGTCATTCATGTCATCGATGACGTTTTATAATCTTCCAACCGCATCATTGGATTTCATTACTATTCATTCATCACAAACTCATTTTTAAAAGAAATGGCCTAGCCATGGCAATAGTGATATTATGTGGTACTCTATACAATCTTTATTAAGATTATTTTTATATTTTATTTAAAATAATGTACAAAATAAAATTGAATTAACACAAGATAAGTTTTACGTAATGAATGATTTCCGGTGCAAATCGAAAGTTCATAAGTAATTAAAGACGGACGACAGTGGGAATTTATGGGCCTACAATTTTTTTTTAAATGCATGGTTCTTACCCCTCGACTAAACTTTTTACGCCAAGATCCAACGTACTGTACTGTACTGTACATGTACTATCGAAGAAAAAATAATAATCTACAGTAAAATAAAATTATGTTGCCAGAAAAACTGCAGTAAATAACAAGTATGAAAGGCTAGATAACAATAATCACAATAAAAATGTCTGATTCAAAATAATAATGACCAAAAAATAACAAAGGTAACAATAGAAAAATTATTAAATGTTTATATTAAATCGACAACGTTTTATCAATATACAATATAATTATTCCGTCCTTATCCCGAATAATTTATATATAGACTATCTATCCTTTCCGAATGTTTCAGCCCAGGCAGTTCTATCACACGATGTGGTAGTCACATACTACAATGCCCTCTGTTTCATCTATAAGGAGATAGCCCGATGTAGTAAGCACAGAATTCTAAGGCGTGAGATAATTGTAAAGTTTTAAAAGAACCCTACAATTTCCTCATTCCTTAGAAATGAAAAAAACGCCAATGAGAGAAAATAGTGCCTCTGCCGAAACAACTTGAAAGGTTAGAAATGTACAAAGCCTTCGAGAGAAGGACGGTAGTTCACTTCGAGGAGACAGACTCTATTTCGTCAGGCTAGAGAACGTATAAAAAGTAAAGGTTTCTTCTTCCAATAGAGAGACTAGTAATATCTATCACGTCTTTCTTAATTAACAGAGACCAAGATTAAAACGAAATCGAACGGAAGTGTCAAATTGATTAATTAATCAAATAAAGAATTTAGGGGCGTGATCCGTTAAAAAGCCAGAAATTCAAGGAGAAAGTACGATGGTTTCCCCCCGGCTCAGTCTGTTTATCCCCTGTGTCGGTTTACCCGTTTTCGTTCCGCCGTATTATAAAGGTTTTTCGGTAATTTTAATATTAACTTTATCCAGTTTGATATTGCATTAATACGCAACATCAAACCGGCGGCGACCGATGAATCCCTCCGAAATGCCAAATAATATTGGGCGAAATAAATCGAAATCTTAAGAATTTTTTACTGTACTTATGCGAAGGCCGAAAACGGACGAAAAAAATATTTATTCGAATCAATTTCGTGCGATTTTCGGAGATGGTCGAACCTCGAGACGTAGAATTTAAGATCGTCTTTTAACTCTCCCCGGTGGACATTCTGCACCATGTAAATGCAGAAGATAATTTATTTATCAAATTCCGAACACAAGAAAGTGATTGAAGCAGAATTTAAAAAGAAAAAAAAATTAATTAAAAAAAATAAAATTGATTTTTTTTAATTCAAATTTTTACGTAATTCGAACATTGTTGACGTGTCTTTTAACGTTTGTTCGAAATTCGTCACGCATGACGATTCGCAG